GGGCCTGAGCCTCTGGCAGAGCCTGGCCGATGCACTGCTGCCACCACGGTTGGAGGACCTTCAGCGGACTTGTACTTGCAGGTGGCGTTTGGGATGTTGTTCTACAGTTTGAGCATTCTGCTGGGTCACCTTTCTTGGGAATGGGTACCAACGTGGATCTCTTCCAGTCAGTTGGCCAAGTAGCTGTCTTCCAAACTTCCTGTCACAGATGAGTGCTTCCAGTGCTCCTTAGGCTTGTTGGAACGTTTCAGCCGGTGTCCCGTCGGCTCCCGGGGGCCTTGTTTTTGACGAATGCCTTAGGCGCAGCCTGAGCTGCTTCCTTCAGCACCGGGGTCCTGGATCATCTACTGCTTCTGGAAATGGTTGACTGTCGACTCGTTCTTCGGGGGCAGTATTTCTGTGCATTCTTCTCCTCACCTTTGAGGCTTCCTACAACATTCAATGCTTTTTCCCCATAGAATCGGTCGCTATTTCAAATCAAGGCTTGATATTTTCCTGAGCCCTTTCAGAGGGAGATACGATGCGAGGGTTCTTCCTTTTCCTTTCCCTTGCCTGACTCTAGGGCTTTGCACTTTCCCCCCACCTTTTAAATCAGACTTGGCTATCACTAAAGAATCTAAGCCATCTCAGTCCAGCTTTCCTGTCCTTTCAGCCTCAGGCCAGCGTTTAGATCTCAGGGGTTAGGAGAAATCTGGAAGGGCTTTAAGGCTTGACCCAGCACTCTCTCACTCGCTTAAAATTTCTTTTAACGTTTTCTTTCCTTTGGTATTTAAAGAAAAACATCTTCTGGGTGGTTGCCAAGCCCATCTCGTTAGATGAAATCAGTAATAGTAGCCCCCTGAACCCCAGACATGTGGTTCAGTTTGCTTTGTTTTCTCCTCCCAGCACCCCCCTCCCCCATTTCCTGTGCCTCCCCGCTACCAGCCCTCCCCACCCTGCCCCTGGCCTCCGAGTAGTCTCAATGTCTTATCTCAACTCAAAGTGAAAAGAAGCCCCCTGTCTTTTTCGTTATAATAATAGAGTCCCCAAATACTTATCTTTGTAGACTCAGTTTGCTACGTATGTGGCATTCCCTAATTCTGTCCATGTCAGTCAGTGCTTGACAGAATTGTCAGTGTGCTTTACAGATGTCTAATATTCCGGTGTATGAATGTAGCAGAGTGTGTTTAACCACTCCTCTATAATTAGAGTTTTTATTGTTTCCATTTAAAAACATTGAGCTATAATGAACATATACTGCATTTCAATGGCCACCCTCGTCTGACCGTTTGTCGTATTGCGGCGCCTGGGTGTCACTGGGATGTTGGAGGCGGTGTCACTAGCAGGGTCACCCAAAGGGAGCAGGTTTCCGAGGAGCTTCAAGACCAAGAGGAGACGGTGAAGAAGGACTTGGCTCCCCACTGAGGAGGGAGGAGCCGCTGGAAACCTTATGCACAGCTTCAGAACCTCATCGGATCCCGAAGGCCTAATGAATGGGCGCAGAGAGGGTGCCAGGGGCGGGCCGCTTGGGCGAGAAGGCAGTGTGCATGTGACGGAGGAGGAGCTGCTTTTCAAGGGAGAGTCAGCGTGGCAGCGTGAATGGAGGAAGGTCTCTGGGCCGGGAGCCTGCGAGGTCTTCATTGGTTGATGGAGCACAACTCACTCGGAGAAGAGACAGCTGTAAAAACGTAATCATGGAACTTGGGATGCAAACGTAGGAACCTAGGGAAATTGGAAGTAATAAAAAGCGAAATGGAATGCATAGAGATCACTATCGTAGGCATTAGTGAGCTACAATGGACTGGTAGTGGCCATTTTTAATCAGAAAATCATATAGCTTACTCTGCTGGGAACAACAAAATCCAGGGACTGGCATAGCGTTCAGAGTCAGAAAGGACCTTCCCAGGTCTATCTTTGAAGTACAGTGCAGTCTGTGATAGGAACCTGTCTGTCTGCATTCAAGGAAATCTAGTTAGGACGATTGTCACTCTAGTGTATGCACCACCACCAAAGTTAGTGATGGAGAAGTTGAAGAATTTTACCAACATCTTCAGTCTGACATTGATCAAACATGTCATCAAGATGCATTAGTAATTATTGGCAATTGGGGTACAGAAGTTGGAAACAAAGAGAATCGAGCGGTAGTTGGAAAATATGATCTTGGTGATGGAAACAGAGCTGGAGATCATATGACAAAATTTTGCAAGACCAACGACTTCTTCATTGAAAAGACTCTTTTCAACAACACAAACGGTGACTATACATGTGCGCTTGTCCAGATGGAATCCAGAGAACCAGGTTGGCTGTGTCCACAGGAAGAGAGAGTGGAGATGGTCTGTATAACAGCTAAAACCAGGTCAGGGACTGACTGTGGAACGGATGATCAATTTCTCATATTTAAGTAAAGGTTGTAGCAGAAGAAAATTAAAACAAATTCACCAGAACTAAAATACGGCGTTGGGTGTCCTACCTGAACTTCAAGAACATCTCAAGGACAGATTGGCTGCGCTGAACACTAATGACAGAAGACCCGATGAGCGGTGGGAGGGCATCGAGAACATCTCACGTGAAGGAAGCAGAAGTTCATTAAAAAGACAGGAAGAAGGGAAAGATCAGGATGGGCGTCTGACTGAAAAAAACACGACAAACGCACTACCACGGAGGGCGCCGACTCTGCAGGACCGGGTAGAACTGCCCCCACGCGTGTCCAACACTGTAACTCTTCACTCCCTCCTTCAGAGCAGCAGGGGCTTCTGCAGATCCACTGGCACTTGTTCTTGCAGGTTGAGTACAAAAGTCCTGAAGGTGCATGAAGTCAGAGAGCTGGACAGGATATTTCAAAGGGCACCTCGGGAAGACACAGTAAGATATTGTGTTGAAATGTGTGAAGACTTAGAGTTAGAAAATTAAAAAAGGAAGAACACTCTCAACACAGCTTAAACGGAAACAACTCAAGGGGAACAAAAACACAGGACTTGAGTTGCAATATTGAAAGATTCCACGGGCCAAACATTGAATGACGCGGGAAGTATCAATAGAAGACGGAAAGAATGCACAGGGTCCCTGTGCCAGAAGTAACGAGTCGGCATTCAACCACTTCAAGAGGTAGCGTATGAACAAGAGCCACTGGTGCTGCAGGAAGAATGTCAAGATGAAGAAATTCGAAGGAGGTTTAAAGCTCAAGGAAGGAGTTTCACGTATTGAAAGCATGGACCCAAAGCAAAGCTCTGGGAATTGACGGAATGCTAATGGAACGGTTCCAGCAAGGTGATGAAGCACGGGAAGCACCACTTAATCATCGATGGCAGGAAATTTGAAAGACAGCTGACCTTTCCAAATTTGAAAGACCTGGCCCGCTGACCTTTCCAAAGAAAAGTGACCCCCCAAAATGCTCAAATTATAGAACAACATCATTAACATCACAGGCAAGTCAAATTTTCCCCGAGATCCTCCAACAAGGGTGGCAGCAGTGCATCGACAGGGCACGGCCGGAGGTTCAGGCCCGATTCAGAAGAGGAGAGAGAACAAGGGACATTATTGCTGACGTCAGATGGATCTTGGCAGAAAGCAGGGAATACCAAAAAAGATGTTGATTTATGTCTTGTTGACTGTGCTAAGGCATTTGATTGTATGGATCATAACAAACTATGGATAGGCTTGAGAAGAATGGGAACCCCAGAACACTGTTTGTGCTAATGGGGAAAATGTACATGGATCAAGAGACAGTTGTATGTACAGAACAAGGGCCTATTGCATGATTTAAAACCAGGAAAGGTGTGTGTGTCAGGGCTGTATCCTGTCACCATACTGTATGTTGAGCAAATCATCAGAGAAGTTAGATTGCGTGAAGAACGAGACATCAGATTGGAAAACCCCCCTGCTGTATGCAGATGGCACAACCTTGCTTGCTGAAAGGGCGGAGGACATGAAATTGAAGAACTTGTTGATGAAGACCAAGGATTACCACTCAATGTAAAGATCAAAATCCAAGTCCTCACAACTGGACCAGTAGGCAGCCTCACGATAAAGGGAGAAAAGATGGAAGTTGTCAAGGATTTCATCTTGCTTGGAACAATCAAAGCTCATGGAAACAGCAGTCACGAGATCAAATGACACATTTCATGGGGTCTATCTGCTGCACACGACCTCTTTAGAGTGTTGAACAGCAAAAGTGTTACTTTCAGTGTACTAAAGCGAGTACTCAGTGCTAATGCACCGAGGGTGTGCCCGACACAAGCCGTTGTATCTTCAGTCGTCTCATATACTTGTGAAAGCTGTACATTGAATAAGGAAGACCAAAGCAGAATTGATGTGGTTGAATGATGGTGCTGGGGAAGCATATTGAAAGGGCCATGGACGGCCAAAAGAACACATAAATCCGTCTCGGAAGAAGTACAGTGCTCCTTAGCGGTAAGGATGCAAGTCTTCGTCTCACATCCTTTGGAGGTGTCATCAGGAGAGACAGGTCCTTGGAGAAGGACGTCATGCTTGGTAAAGTAGTGGAGCAGCAACAGAGAGAAGCGGGTAATGCTTTGTTCTGTTGTGCATAAGGTTGGCATGGATCACAACCAACTCAATGGCCCCTAGCAATAACAAACAGAACAGCAGGGAGAAAACACCCATTCAATGGCCCCACTGTATCAAGAAGGGCTGCACAATCATCCTCATCCTCACCCTCTGAAGCTTCCCCCTCATTTCCCGCCCTCTCCTGCCAGGTCCTCAGGTATCGCCACTCCCATTCCCAGCTTCTTATTCCCATCGATCCCATTTTCCTCAACAGATAACTGTATCAAATGAGGGCAGACACCAATCAAGGATCAATCCACAGTGCTCATGCAAAACCAATGGAGATCTCAATCTAATAGAAAGCAGAGAATACTGAAAGTTCAGAACACATTTACTTTGCGTCCATTGGGGAGTCGTATTATAAGACACCATAAACTGGCCAGAGTTCAGTTGCTGAAGTCCCCTGTACAAGGCTCACCACCTGCTTTTTGATCTCTTGTCATTTCAAGCCGCCGTGTATTGCGGATTCACAGGAGGCTCATCCCATGCAGTGGTTTTGCAAATGGATTTTGAGCTCCCGCTGCTTCCTGCAATCTGGGGGTTTAGGATTTGGGTGTTGGGACTGTGCCCTTTTCCGGGTGTGGATCATATTATTAGCCGTCTTTGGATCACACCGTTAGTGTGCTGCTTCTGTCTGGACTCAGCTGATGCCTCGCTTAGCCGGCTGCTTGTTTTGATACAAACCTCTGAGGCCCCAGGAACTAATATGCACGATAGCTGGGCACCGTCTAGGTTTTTCACTACACTTTGCTGTGGCACCCATGTGCGCACGGATCTCTTAATGGGGGCGAGTACCAGGCAGGGCTATGTCATAAGAACTAATAGTTCTTATAGCAGGGCTGTGGTCAAGTGACAGCTCACCATCCAGTCTTTTAGCTGTTGTTTCTATGAGCCCCTCATTTGATTTTTTGAGACATCATTGTCATTTTGTTGTAGTATATCCTAAATCTTCCCCTAAGGTTTAAAGCAATTCTATTGCTAGGAATATGATTTTAGTCAATGCGCTTGTGTTACTGATCAGAGAATTTCACAAGCAAAGATCTTGTGTCTCTTCCAGATGCGGGTGACTGGCTGGCTGCTAGCTGCACACATGTTGTGGAGGTAGGACTTTCGGTACCCCTCCTTTGTGGGGGCAGAGTCCTGTCTCGCAGACTAACCCTTGTTGATTGCTTCCATCTTTATGCTATTGTGGAGATTCCTGCAATAAACATAGCTGTGCAGATGTCTGTTTGTGTTGTGTGCTTCATTTCTTCCGAGATGGTAGGGTCACGAAGTAACTGTATGGGCATTTATTTCGAGAAGAGCCACATTAATTTCCGCAGTGGGTGGACACTTCTACAGTCCCACTGGCGATGTAGGAGCAGTCCGATCTCCCCACATCCTCTCCAGCACTTATTATTTTCTGCTTTGTTACAAAAATTGTTCCTCAGCGTATTGGTGTGAGGTGGCATCTCACTGTTTTGTGTTTCTCTTCTTGCTGATGAAGGTGAACATTTCTTCATATAGCTGTTGGCCGCCTGGATGCCGTCTTTAGTAAATTGTCTACTCATGCCTTGGGCCCTTTTTTTGTTGGGTTATTTGAATTTTTTCTTACTAAGTTGTTGTAGATTTCTGTAGATATATATTTTTAAAATTCGCCCTTTACTGATGAATCACTATTAGCTATTTTTTTCCCAATCAATGGGTTCTCTTGGAACTCTTTTGATGTGCATGAGTGTCCCAGTTCTTTCTTTTGTCTTCTATAGTGTGAATATTTTTCATTATGTTCAGCAGTATATTTATATCTTGTATTAGGGCCTTTCCATTTGTCCTTATTTTTCATTGATGGTCCTAGGGTTTATGTTTAGGCCTTTAATTCACATTGAGTTTGCAGGTTGTTAATAAGCCTTTCCCCAACCCTGATGCTGACTTCTTCAGATAATCCAGCTTCTCTGATTATTTTCTCAGCCTACAGATTGAGAAAGTATGGTGAACTGATAGACCCTGATGCACATCTTTCCTGATTTTAAACCAAGCAGTATCCTCCGGTTCTGCACAAATGACTGGCTCTTGACCCATATGCAGTTTCCCCAGCAGCACAATGAAGTGCTCTGGCATCCCCGTCCGTCTGAATGATGATCTCAGCGTGGTATGACCCACACAGTTGAATGCCATTGCACAGCCAAGGAAACACAGTGAACACCTTTCTGGTAGTCTCTTTCAGAGACGATCCCGTCTGACATCAGCCATGATATCCCTTGTCCTCTTCTGAATGTGGCTTGACTTGATAGCAGGTCCCTGTCGATGTACGGCTGAAACCGTTGTTGAACCATCTTTTGCAATCTTTAACTTGGATCTGATATGAATGATGGTCTTTGATAATTTGCACAGTTGGTTGGGTTGCCTTTCTTGGGAATGCATACAAATAGGGATCTCTTCCAGTGGGATGGCCAGGTCGCTGTCTTCCAAAGCGCTCGGCATACAGGACTGAGTGCGTCCAGTGCTTCATCAGCTTGCAGAAACATTTCAATTGGTATTGGGTCCATTCCAGGACTCCTGTAGTTCACGTTCGCTTTGAGAGCCACGTGGACTTCATCCTGCGATACCATCAGTTCTTGCTGCCTCTTGAAATGGTCAACGGCCGAGCAGCTCGTTTTGATACAGCGACTCTGTGCATCCCTGTCTCTCGTCTTCTTTTGATGCTTCCTGTCCTGCCCAGCATTTTGCCCGCAGCATCTTTCGCTATTGGCCTGGCGTTTTCCCTTCATTCTTTTCGTTTGCTGTATATTGTGCTCTTCCTTTTTGGTAGTCTAACTCCAGGCCTTGCACATGTCATCACAACACGGCCCTTGGTCTCCTCAAGCTGCCCGTTGACATGTGTATTCAACGCTTTGACTTCACGTTGATTTCATTTGCTTTAGCTACTCTGTCCTCAAGAGCAAGTTCAGAGTCTCTTCCAACACGCTCGTTGATGACTTCTCTATTTCTTGTCCTTTGGTTTCTTCATGCACCGTGTGCTTGAGGTCATGCTACTGCTGCTCAAGTCTTCTCTCCTCAGTGCCCAAGAGGCACATCTCTTCTTGAGATGATGGCCTTGGATGCAGGTGGTCTCTACTGAAGGTTGCATCCTCTTTACTAGTTGAGCTAAGCTATTATGTGGTCTTAAGTACACTTGAGGGGATGGTTTTCATTTAAGGTTTAAACATATCCTAAGGGTCATGGTTTTGAGGGATCATCTGGCCCCAGTGGCTCCAGAAAGTCTAGAGTCCATGAGAATCTGAAATTCTATTCTAGATTACCCCCACCTCCCCACATTCGATCAGAATCCTTCAAGAGACTCTTTGATCCAAATGTTCAACAGGGGAGAAAGGCACCATCCACTTCTTCTGGTCTCAATGTCAAGGAGGCAGTTGTTCTTGGAGGCCATCAGCCACACTTCCCACCGTCTCCTCCCCTTCCTGGCTCTCCTTCTTCCTCGGTCAATAGACACTAATGGTTATGCCTTGGATTTTGCCTCTTCTTTCTCCCAGGATTGTGGGTGTGACTCTGAGGATGACCCCCCCGGTTCCTGTTCCAAGGACAGCATCGAGGGCAGCATGGAGGAGGCTGGGGGAGTGATAAAAGACTGTGTCCTGAAAATCACCTCCTTGGCCTCAGGCTTGAAAATGATCCTGGAGCCTTTATTTTCCGCTTCAGGAAAGGTCTTGGTGGCACTCCTCCTGGGCTTGGCAGGTACCCCAACGTTCTGGGTGGCGGGCCCAGTGTTGGACTGGCCAGTGGGCGCAGAAGAGGAGAGTCTGGGTTGGGCCATAGGGTTGCACAGGAGCCCAGGGTTTCTGGGGAGCTCTCTAGGGGAGTAGGCAGCTGATTGGAGAGAGAGAGAGGTCTCTTGGAGGCTGCGGGCTGGGTAGCAAATTCTTTGGAGCAGGAAGGTCATGAAGAGCAAGGGAGGGGTCTGAGCTATGCTGCTGGCTCAGGGGGCCTCAGGCAGATGACCTTTTCTATCAGGTCACATTGCTATTCAGATAGAGGGACAAGAACTCACAGAAAGGGTTGGCCCATCCCAGCAACCCATACTTGGATGTCTGTGGGTGGGTCACCCTTGTCCTCTAGCCTTGGGGGTTGGTGCGTCTCTCTGGGATGCCGCTCCAAGTCTGGGCCCTGCCACGTGCCCGTGCAGGCTGCTTTCAGAGGCAGCACCTCCAGGTCTGGGCTCACAGAGAGCATGTGATTGGGAGATGGGGGAGGAAAGGGCCACCGGTCATGTGGGGGATCGTCTCCCCAGGCATGGTGTCTCCTTCCATCACCTCGGCTGTGTACTTCGGGGCCTTCCTGGGCCTGGGCTCCTGGTGGGCATGCCGGTGGGCGCTGAGTGCCCTGGCCTTCAGCTCTCTGTGTGTCTTCATGACCATCTTCACTGCCGGCCACCTGGGGAGCCTCTACCTCTACCAGCTCCCTGTCTTCCAGGACCTCGTGCCACCAGAGGACATCCATGCCAGGTACAGCTGGTGACACCCATCAGGCATGGGAGGGAGGGTTCTTAGAGGGGCTTTCCCTGCTCTTTAGGGGTGCAGCCTCACCTCAACTTCCCCAAACCAGGGTAAGGATGTGGTCAACTTGGGAAGTTCAGCCTGGCAGCATCTGAGGACAGCACCCATAGCCACCTCCCACCTGGAGGACAGAATAGTCTTAGTACCTTCCTTTTGCTCCCTCCTTCCCCATATCTCTTCCTCTCATTCGTTCGTTCTCCCTCCTTTTCTTCCTCCCTTCCTTCCTGCCAGCCCGGAGTCGTCCAGGCACGGCTCTGGGGATAAGGGTAAAAGGAAAAAACAAAAAAAAGGGGGGTGCAAACCCGGTTGGCAATTTCAACCAACGGCCGGCTTCTAAAGCCCTTCAGAAGGGAAAGTGGCCGACCTGTGTGCCTGGGACCGGGGATACAAGACAGCAAGACAGCCGGGCTCATGTCGAAGGGGAGACCCATGAGGAGCTTGATCAAAAGGCGTCGCAGGAAGAGGGTGGGGCAAGGTTCATGCTCCAGAGGTGGTCCTGAGCTTGCTGACCCGTCACCAGCTGCCAGACTCCCTGAGCCTGGTTCTCTGGCCTCCTCAAAGCAAGGGGCTGGACCTGGAGTAGACCAGGGCAGCATCTGATGACTCTCTGGCTGACCAGCTTTCTGCACACAGGCTGCTGGGCATGATTGGGGTCATCCGGACCAATCGCACGGAACCCTGGAAGCTCCACGTCCATGCAGGCCTCGGCTGGCCGGAGGTGGTGAACCCGTCCATCCTGCTGCTGACGTATTACGCACTGGTCCTCCTGCTGAAGTTGCAGGCACCTCCTCCTGCCGTAGGTGGTCCCCAGAGAGCGGGACTGTTTGTTCACCTGCCCACCCCAACACAGCAAGTGGGCAAAGTCTCCCTCGAGTGTGAATGGCTGAAAGATACTTGCTAGGTTCCCTTCCCATGGCACTACTCAGGCTGGGAGTGATGAGTCGGAGTGGGAGGAGGGGGGAGTGGGAGGAGCCCGGAATGTTTGAAGGGCTGTCATGTGACCCAAGAGTACGCCTTGCCTCTGCTCAGCTCCCAGGCACAGAAGAAAGACAGGAGGGTGTGCAAGAGCAGGACTCAGCTTCATGAGCCACCAAACCCCAAAGAAACAAGCAACAACCCACGCTCACTGGCCTTGCGTCTATCCTGACTCCTAGTGACCCGACAAGACAGGGCAGCGCTTCTCCTATGAGTTCCCAGACTGTAACTCTTTCTAGGAGTAGAAGACACCCTCCTCCCTACCACCCAGGGGCTGGTGGTTTCGAACTGCTGACCTTGGGGCTAGCAGCCCACCTGGGAGTAGCTTCTGTCAAGATGACTGACCTAGAAACCCGGGCGCGGGGCGGCTGGGTGTCAGTTCTGCTCCGAGTCGGATGGTCTCCATGGGGGTGGTCTGGTGTTTGGTTTGGTGAAAGCAAAATGAACATTGGATTTGGGGAACTTGCAAGGGATTGAAGGCGTAAGACCTTGCCCTAGTCTTAGGTTGATTGTGTAATGAAGTGGTAATGCAGGGGGTGTCTTACCTTGCTACGTATGGAGGCAGTGGCAAAATTCCCACCTTTGATGAGGGAGGACCATGTTAGACCCCCGGTCAAGCTTGTGTGCAGGCTTGTGTGCTGCTGTGACGTGGAACAGCCTTGGCTCTTCACTTAAGAGGAGGAAGAAAGGCCCGGTGGTGGACTGTAAAAAGTCAGCCAGTGGACGCCACGATGGTCCAGTCCACAGCCAATCATGGGGTCAC